CTTGTCAACCTAAATTATTTCAAACAGTACTTGCAAGGTGTACGGCTTGCTCTAATTTATTTCTCTTCTCACATAAAACCGTACATTGATTGCAGTTGAAGCTTAACTTATCCACTCAAACTTTATGAAAAAGAACCATTACCCTATAACTGCAAACTGATATTTTTCTGTGACTGTCTTTTGTATAGCTTAACTTGATATTAGAAGCATCTAATACTCAAACAAAATATTCCATGAAAATTTTTTAAAATTACAGAAAATGTAGGAAATGTCTTTCTTCAAACGAAGAAATATCTTCAATTTTGTATCTAGAATGAAACCTTTCAACAGCTTATGACATGGATGGAAAATGCTTGCCAAAACTGGAAAGTTTTCACTTATTGTCATGCAGTAAATCTAAACATTCTCAAAAAAATCTGAGACAAATCCCAGAACCTTGAAATTGAATGAGCTAAAATTTAGATTTTTTCAAAGTTGTACCTAGTCTAGAAATGCCCAAAAGTTTATCAGAAATGGGACAACCCTGGTACATCTGCTAAAAAAAATGGAAAATTGATCACGCACAATTAATCAGGAGAAATGATTTTATTTATTGATTGCATTGAAAATGTTTTAACAGGGGTCAATCATAAGTGAGCAATGACTGAGCAACTGATTTGAAAATCAAAGCAAGCGTGATAAAACACCTATATACAGTATATTCATGGCAGTGCTTGCTATTATATTGTAAACCACATGTATATAACAATGAAAATTAGGAACACTACTGAGCAAAGAATAATTCACAACTTTGTATAAAATATACCGGGGAACCTTGATAACTCAAACCTCTTAAAGCCGAATAATCCCTGCATTACATTTTTGTCAAGTCCCCATCTGAATTTCCTACAAAAAAATGCATGAAAAACCTTCTATACCTAAAGGTTTCCTGTCTAAAAACTCCATACCTACAATTTTATGAGGCCTTTAATTTGATTCAGGAAAAAAAGCAATAAAAATGGAATTTTATATGTCCTTAAGGGAAATATAAGACTAAGCCTCTGAGTACAGCAACCTGTCAACACAGTTCAGAAGCAATTCAAGAGCCAGAATATCACCAGTTACAATTTAGTTCAATTCTTTTACATTTCCCATGACAAAAATGCCCGATTCTGTTACTGCAACATCTATGACAAAAACCTCCCCAATAAGTAAAAAACTCTGCAAGTAAAATTTTCTCCTGGTCCCTTGAAAGTCAACTTGGAGAGGTTTGACTGTATTAATAAAATAGAAACATTAATAAAATCAACAATGCATTAGTAAAATGGGATGGTTGATATTGAAATGGATATTGAAGAGAGTCAGAGAGTTTTTTTTATAAAGAAATCAATTCTGTTGAAAATGTTAAGTATGTATACAGTATGCATCTCGTCAGAATGAAGTTCTGCCTACACCACATTTTTTTCTAGTCCTGGCAGTTACCCTTAAGGTGTAGTTTAAATTGATCTAGTTTCAAGGAATTAATTTTTTACAGGCTCTCTCATTACAAAAACTTTTTGTCCCCAATTTTTGAAAAGTTCCCATAATTTTTCTGATTGTGCTCTAATTTTTGCATTTTTCTTTCCCGAATGTTTGTACAATGCCCTGTTTCCAAGGGCTCATCATGGTGGACAGGAAATGTCTCTCCCTCAGAGTTATAAAAAACAGGAAGCTAAAAATCTCCCACAATAATGGACAGCAGGAAGTTCATGAAATGAATGTATCCTGATAAATTTATTTATTGTCTAAGGAGCTTGGAAGTATAGTGAAAAACTAGGAGCTGGGAACTCCAAGAGCCATCAAAACCTATGCATCTTATTCTAGTGCTCTTCTGCGTTGAGTTTTATTTTAAATTGTTAAATTCATTGAAAGTTTTTAATTATCTTCGTGAAATTATCATGTTTTCAAGCTCCCAAAGCAAGTGGTAGATGTCTTAGTGAATTCTGGGGCAAAGAAAATTGCACAGAGTTAAATTACTGACTATTTCAAGCCATAAAATGCTTTTTCACATGTTTAAGTGTGGTTTCTGCAAATAAGTGCATAAATCTCAATACAATGCATTTTTCCTGGTCCTTGGGAGTTTGTTGTGGTGAGATTCTACTATACCATATGATTGAACGTACCCCTGAACTGTATATAGTGAGGATCTGGTCTTCCAACACTTATTGTTGTGATTTGTAACAGAGTTTCCTAATTATCAGGACAGTAAATCGCTAGAAATGTCTGGATGGGAATGCAGAGCTGGTGAATACGGTAGCCAACTTTCACAGTTCCAGATACGGTTAATATACGTAGCCGCATAAAGGGAGTCTATGCAGTATCAGCACTTGGAAAATTAAATTCCCTCCTGAAATATCATCCTATTATGATCAGAACACTATGAAGAACAGCTAAAAGAAGAAGAAGAAGAAGGAGGAGAAGAAGAAGAAGAAGCAAAACACCGCAGCATCATGAGCAGCAGGAGTGGAGGAGGAGGAAACACTCACCGTAGTCATTTTGCCACCGTTAAACGTTCGTGTTACCGTGTTGATCTTTTTATCTGCCAGGTTCTCTTCCCGCAAGGTCATCACGTTCCCGCTCAGGGCCACCGTCGCCTTTGGGGCAAATAAAAAGAAAAGAGGGAAAATTCTTCCTCTTCATAAAAATAAAGTTATATCCAGCAGCGAGGAGCACGGTGCGTGGAACACAGCTATAGTGAATATCGGACGAATTTGTTCATCTCTTTCTTCTGCTGTCCAAGATTCCGGGAATACCGAATGCGCCTTCTCTTATGCCCTCAGGCTGAAGGGCGTCATCATCATCGTGCACCGAGCATGATGTTCAAACAATATATAAGCAGGGTTGACGATGACGACGTGTGCATCATCATCATCATGAGCAGGAGCAGCAGGCAAAAATGGACGGGCTTTCGTTTTCATATGCCCCAAAACTTCCTCACACACACACACACACACACATCACTACCTGAAGTGTACGTGTTCCACAGCAATAACATATCAGCAGCACATCACCATGCCATCCCATAAATTCGGTGTTTGTGCTATTGCTGGTGCTATTGTGTGTGTACAGTCCAGTCAGCCTCCAGTTGGGCAAACCACGGTTGCACACCTGCCAGCCAGCAAATGCTGGTTGGTTCAACCACCAGCCAGTAGGGCAGTCCTTGGCCTCCCTAATCCCCAGCCCACTATAAACTGCAGTCTGGTCACCCAACTGTGGGGGGCATCCAAAAGAGCAGGTGATTATATAATTGTGCTGATTCTAGAATACTGGTTGCAGTAAATTTCCATGCTTTGGTGGGCAGAATGGTTTCATGCTGCAGATGATTTTTTTTAACAACATTTCATCCATGCTCTGAAGGTTGTAGGTAAGGTTAGTTTATGTTGGGTTAGGTTAGTTTCGGTGGGGTTTGATGATTATTTTTCTTTTTGTGAAAATTTTTATAAGATGGAATTCTCCACAAAAAGAATCTGTGGTAGGAAACCATTCTGCTCACCAAAGCCTAGAAAGTCACTGTAACCAGGATTTTAGAATCAACACAATTCTGGTCATCCCATTGTTTGGGTGCCCCAATAATTGGGTGACTGGACCAGGACTTATTGGTGGGCTGGGGATTGGGGTGGCCTATGACTGTCCTGGCTGGTTGTTTGGACCAACCAGAGTTTGGTGGCTGGTGGGTGTGTGACCATGGTTTGCCCGACTGATGGCTGAACAGGTACAGTACCCTAATAGTGTTACATCCTCATCATATACTGTGTGGTTCAATCCAGTGATTGCCCGGCCCTGAAAGTGTTTGTCTCCATGCAGCTGCTTATTCTCTTCCCAGTTGTACAGTAGATACTATGTAGTAGATTATTTACATCAATAGATAAGTATACAGTAATTCACCTTTACTTTCCTGCCATCCATCGTTTCGTACGTGAATGACTCGCCGATTTTGAAGTTGACCGACGACGATCGCAGACTCGTCTCGATCTTCATGGTCCACGTCCCGTCGGCGGCATTCCGCGACAACTTGACCAGGGGCTTGACGGACAAGGCGATCTTCCGCGAGAGGAATCCCACACCTTCATCATCCACATCGTCAAAGAAATATATGGCAGGGAATAAACACTAATTTGAATTAATTGAACGATCGATCGATCAATCGGTTGTCTTTTATTCGTGAAATAACGGACCCAGTTCGCTGAGGTAGGAGTCAAAGTGGTTGTCGTAGCCGTCGAGCTTCCAGTTGCCGACCATCATGCCGATGGACGACGAGTCACTGCTACTGACGGTGGAACAAAGTAGACACATCATCACCGCGGAAATGCCAAAAATACCGCGATTCCACGTCGTCCTTTTCCCCCGCGCGTGCTGTTCCAACGACGAGGACATTTTTGCCCGAGAATTTGCAGCAGACGACGAGGAACTTATTATTTTATCAAATAACTACGGCGGTGCTGGTACCTGTTGCGGGGAAACAAATGAAAGAGGAAGAAAAAGGCTAAATAAGAAATGACTGACTGCTGCTGAGACCTTGTAGCTAGCTATACGATAGTATAGCGTGTACAGTATAACATATCATGATGGTACACGGATGTCACTCGTGGATTCATTGGGCTTTGTCCTTTTAACTCTGCTGACAGTTACTGCTATACAGTACAGTAGCAATACTCATGATGGTTGCGCCTCGTCCTCGTTTGTGCCTTCGGGCAAATCGTAAAAAAAGGACATTTATATTTTCCGTCGTCTTTTATTTATAGATTTTCATTATTGGTCAAGACAATTCACCATCAGAGCCAGCAGCATGCATTTGCTGCAGACAGTGCCTGAGCTCAGATCCAGACTTTCCCATGCAGACACTAATCAATCATGGACAGCACTGGCTGTATGTACTGTATGGTTTTTCCTTGTGAACACTGAAAAGCGGCAAATAAAGTTTTCTGTTCATTCATACTGTATATATATACAGAACCAGCAGCAGAAGACTAAGGCACGTGAAAGGGAATACAAACAAGCATCATGGTGAATCAGGGATATAGATGAGCATTCATTATAAACATGCATCAGGGATGTATAATACCATATTCACTGGAGTACCCATGTGCTCTCAAGTAAGGCGTGCACAAAGGTTTTTCAGTTGGAAATTTTGCTAAAATATTATCCCCAAGTAAGACATGCACCCCTATTTTTAGTAAATCTGAAATCACAAAATTTCAAAAATAAAAAAAAACAAAAAATGGACTTAAGACATGAATTGAACAAAAATGTGATCAATTTTCAACTGTTTCAGTACAATAAAGTTTGCTTGCTACATTTGTTCAAAATTTCTCCATTATAATTTAGTATAATGCACACATAATTTCTGAAAACTTTTTGGAAAATTTGTACCTGCTTATGACACACACCCCTTTTTTCTCTTCTGAAATTTGAGAAAAAGGTGCGCATGATACTCAAGTAAATACAGTAGATTGTTGTCCAAAAGCCCCCACCCATTAACCCTTGTGTGGCAAAGTTTGGATATTTTCACAAAATTTTGTGCCAATGGGCACTGGGAAAAAACCTACTTTTTTTTTTACCAAGGGCTAAGTTGGGAAAAAGTCTGAGATATTTTTCTAATCCTGCAGAAAATTTCCAATGCAAATTTTAAAAAATCCCTGTCTGAGTGGCATTTTTTCTGCATTCCTGGCATAGGATTTGCATGGGAAAATCTTGGAAACAAAAGAAAATTTGCCTCCTGGATTTTTCCTGACTTAGTCCTCCTCAACCTGTACTTGTCAGTAACCTTGGGTCAAACTGAAATGTGCGCCCCCTGGACAATTCCTAACTCTACCTTGCACTGAGAAAGAGCTCTCTGATGTCTGAGGGTTAATGCAAAAAGTTGGGGATTACAGGCACTCTTGTAACTCTTGATGGTAAGCTGCAGCTTTCACCAACACAAGGCCAATTACCAATATGCCTATAAGTGCAGAATGTATTCTTCTCAAGGGATTCTTCAGCTGCAGTGGCCATCAGTGATTCTATGAATGTCAAAGAATCATGGCTTGCTGACTTCTGCAAAATCAACACTTCACCTTCTTGATCCAATGGCTAGAGGACTTCAGATCATCACACTGGGAATGTGTGAGGCCAAAGAACACTGCATTTTGGGAAGAAGGAGATCCGTCAAGATATCCACATGAAGAAGAAATGATATGGAGAGTAGCAGTGACTGCAAGGAAGAGCAGCATATTTTTGGGCTTTTGGCAGGGGGGGGGGGGGTTTTGATTGAGTTCTGGATAATATTGAACGCTTACATATACCTGACCAATAACAGCAGCAAGTATACTGTATACAAACGAAGCAAACCACAGCATGGCTCCTAATACAGAAAAACCCCGCTGCAGCTGAAAGAGAACATTCTGATGCATCCCGGAGGTGCGGAAATGTCGCAAATTGAACTCAGGCACCAAAAAATTATCTTTCCACGAGGAGGACAACCAACAACGTTGTAATGCGTATTCAGCACAGTCAAATGTCAACTTAAATATTCAATGCACGGTATATACATCATCCAGAGCCTGGATTAAGAAAACACACTTCCTGAGGTGGGAAATTCTTTGCACTCTGCTCCAGTAAACACAGGTTAAATTCAAGGAATTAAGCAAGGAACTGCTGCACATGCAGTACAGTATGTACCTTCACCTCATCCAAGTGAAGGTGACTACTTTCTCAGGTGTATTCCTCTTCACCTCTCTCAATAAGCTATATGGATATAGAGAAGGATAATCCTAAACTTTCAAAATGGTGTTGGAAGGTCACCCCAAAGACACACTTTTTTTGTTATCGATGGGATTTCCGTACCCTTGATGGGGATTTTTAGGCCGCCGACGGGATTGTTCATCAGACCTACCGATTTATTCGAGCAACCCCGACGCACCAGCCTCGATGCATAACATGCACAGGGTCAATAAAAATACATTTTCAAGAAAATGTGTTTACTAAAGTGGAAATGAGCAGAAAAATCGACTATACTTACATGCTGGTATATATGATACTCTGGTACCCAACCAAAAGCCCCCCTGCCAAAAGATTCCCTAGGTCAAAAGCACCCCAGAAATTCCCCCTGCCAAAAACTCCCCTAGGTCAAAAGCCCCCCTCATTCTGATGCATCCCGGAGGTGCGGAAATGTCGCAAATTGAACTCAGGCACCAAAAATTTATCTTTCCACGAGGAGGACAACCAACAACGTTGTAATGCGTATTCAGCACAGTCAAATGTCAACTTAAATATTCAATGCACGGTATATGCATCATCCAGAGCCTGGATTAAGAAAACACACTTCCAGAAGTGGGAAATTCTTTGCACTCTGCTCCAGTAAACACAGGTTAAATTCAAGGAATTGAGCAAGGAACTGCTGCACATGCAGTACAGTATGTACCTTCACCTCATCCAAGTGAAGGTGACTACTTTCTCAGGTGTATTCCTCTTCACCTCTCTCAATAAGCTACATTATATGGATATAGAGAAGGATAATCCTGAACTTTCAAAATGGTGTTGGAAGGTCATCCCAAAGACACACTTTTTTTGTTTTCGAGGGGATTTCCGTACCCTTGATGGGGATTTTTAGGCCGCCGACGGGATTGTTCATCAGACCTACCGATTTATTCGAGCAACCCCGACGCACCAGCCTCGATCCATAACATGCACAGGGTCAATAAAAATACATTTTCAAGAAAATGTGTTTACTAAAGTGGAAATGAGCATAAAAATCAACTACCTACATGCTGGTATATATGATAATCTGACACCCAGCCAAAAGCCCCCGCTAGGTCAAACGTCCCTGGAAAGCCACCCCTGCCAAAAGCCCCCCCCCCCCCCACCACTTTTTTATAATTGGTCAAAAGTTTCAAAATACTGTTTGGTGGCCTTGAGAAAGGCTATTTGGTTTCATTAGTCCTCAAAAGGATTGTTTAATAATCTTCTTCAAAATTGCCTTCTGCAGCCTCTTCATCCCTGTCACTGATGCTCTGCATGTCATTTTCTTCTGAATAGCCATTGTAGTATGCCTTTTGACTGCCATTCTGATTTTTGATGAAGTGAAGTGCACCAGCCATTGGACCCACAAGGTGAACTGTAGATTTTGCAGAAGTCAGCAAGTGATGACGCTTTGACATTCAAAGAATCACTGATGATGACCACTGCAGGTGAAGAATCCCTTCATATACTCAACTTATAAACATATTGGTACTTGGACTTGTGCTGGGCAAGTCCAAGTTTCACCAGATGGCTGCATGGTGAAACGTGCAGCTAACCATCAAGAGTCACAAGAATACCTGTAATACCCAATTTTGGCACCAAGGGGGGGGGGGGGCTTTTGGCAGGGGGCTTTTGGACTACACCCTGATACTCTGTTGTGCAAGTGGAAATAATTGGTTTGCATTCTGGGCATGAAAATAAACCACCATCACAGGCACCATTGGCATCGTTACAAAAATGAAACACTTTTTTTTTCAATCTGTGCTTTTCACAGCGTGCAACACAAAAGGAGGGAACACTACAGCAGACGTTCGATGTTATTTCAAAATCAACATTTGATGGCACATATGCAGATCTTGAGTTTCTATATTATGGACAATGAGAGGGATGTTTGTTGCTAAATTCTGTTGGGAGAATCCCAAGTTATTCTCATGCACCGTTCGAGGTGATTGAGGCTGACTTTAATCGTCGAATTTGTAATTCTGGTTGGGCATATTATGCCTCAGAACGAACCTGTACGTTTGTAATACTGTGCTAGAAATTCAAGTGAGGTAATCATTGGTTATTTCACGAGTATTATACAGTACCGGATACATTTGTATATTCGTGCCGCCAGAAATTGAATACTTTGGTATTTTATTCATCAAGTACAGTACTGCAATATACAAAACGGAATTTTCAAAAGGATGTTCGCGAAATTTCAAGGTTTTGGCTAAATTCAATTTTTGAGAAATACAGTACATGTATAATCGCATTCTGTGTTCGACGGACGAAAGGAATCCCCGTAATTTTAGCTGGTTCCACTTTATAACACCCGATTATAGTAGCTGTTAACCTTAACCCACTGCTTCTTTCGTAATAACCCTATAAATAGGAGGGTTGTCCCTCTTCTGATGGACCGCATTGGCAATTTCTGGGGTAGCTATATACTGTATACCTCTGTAAAAATAATTGTTGATGCAGGCCATAAGGCAATTGTAGAGTACAGTAATCTACTGGGATTTTTTCAAACTTTAATGAGCAATTTCAGATTCACTGAATCATGATACGTAGAAAACTTCCTGTAATTAAAAAAAAAAACAAAGGACATTTCGGAAACATTTGAAAATTACACAAGGTGTTGGACAGTTTGTGGCGGTTGTGCTAAAAACAACATGACATTTTAAATTCGTTGTCTGGCCTGGAATAAGTTTGAACAGCAGTTTGTGACTTGGGTGGAGAACTCTCTCCGTAACTGAAAAGTTTTCACTTATTCATCATGAAGAAATAGATTCAATATCTTTTCTGAAAATCTGAAACATTTCCAGAACCTCACAATTGCATCGTATATATTTGTTTGTACACATTTACCTACCCACTCTAGAAATAGCCAATTACGTGCATCATAAGTGGGACAATCAACCCTCGTAGGCATTTAGCATTCTGCTCCTTCCTCATCGCGGAACACACAGCTTATTCAGGCAACGAATTCAGGAATCCAACATCATAAATATTGCTCGACTTATGGTAAGTATTCACGAAAAAAAAAGAGTCCTTCTGAATCAGCCAGGAGGCAAAATCACAGATAGCCATACTCTATATATACTGTATGTACAGCATATACAATAGTAGGTATATTTTGAGGAGTACACACTATAGCTCCTATATGTGACTGATTATGCGGAGATGCAGTGAGTGAATTTCTGCCGAAACCGGAGGGAGGGGATCGACTGGCAGCTTCCTGCCTCGTGGGAAACCAGAGGCGAATTTATTGGCGCATTATTCCCCGGAGATTTCCTGGGAAATTGTCCCAGGATAGTATGAGGGATATCGTGCACGAGAGGTTAGCGAGAAACGACGACGAGAACAAATACTATGGAAGAAAAACGGCGCATTTCCTTTGCTCAAATACATGATGTGGCATCAAGCACCAGCAAAGCCATTCATTCAGGGGAATAAGAGAAATAAACAGGACTCTCGAATTCCAGTCGTTCCCGCATTATGAATATACGTTCCTCAGCTTCAAGATAATTTGCACCTGATGATGTGGAAAAGTGGGCCCAGTTATGCTGACTTGACCAACCAAATGAATGGCCCCAATGTAAGGCCCACATTTACAGAACCGATGGCAGCAGTACTGTATAGTGCGTGATACCAAACCTTGGTATGTACAGTATATTTGCATGTTTATTTCTCGTTCATGATTCACATGACGGCGGAAACTAGCTTCACCTGCAACTGGGGTCTGTGCAAATCATCAGCAACAGACATATATGCTGCTGGAACATCCATATATATAGGTGCACGACTTCGAAATCTTGACATTTTTTCGCATTTAATGCAACGGTATTATTGTCCCATTTTGACTCCACGTCTCATGTTCTCGGAGTGGGAGTGATTGTTTGAAAATAATCTTTTCCTATGAACTAATCTTTTTGGTTGTAACTGCTGGTAGTTTGTCAAATATCATCAAGCAGTAAATTTCAAAAGGTTTTTAAATTCTGAAGAAAAAAAAACGATTCCAGAAGCTACAATATCATGGAATATGCGTCACGAGTCACGACTTTGCACTTTATTTTTATCATTTACAAACACCCATATAGATACAATGACATTTTTGAAGGTCGCGTCACATTTGGACAACCCTCCTACATCACTTTGCCTCAAAACACCGACAGAAAAACCAGCATTCTTGAGAGGAGAGAAATCAGCTATATTACAGTATTTTGAATTAATATGCTGACATTCAACCTTTCAAGTTGTGTGCAAAGATGTCCTCCTGCTTTGACAATAATGTAGTCACTCAAATGTGTAAGTGGTCAGTAAGATTTGCATTAATCTGGTCATGTCATTAATTTGTATAATTTCAATTAGAAAATAATTTGTGTCCTTCCACCAGCAAATAGATTGAATAAAACATCATTGGACTCTAGCAGAGGAGATGTGAATATACGTATAACGGTGGCTCACCATAGATATTGGAAAACTATGATGGAATACCTGGGGGTCTATACTTGATTGAATGTAAGAAGCCTGTCAGAAATGATCAATTACCTGCATGTAAACGCATTCATTTCCATCCGTGACTAGAAAACAAAAACTGAAATTGGTTCAGCCTTTGAGGCCTGCAGTTCCTTCTTTTCACTAATGGAACTCACCCCATACTGCACAAATTCACCACCACCATTACTTACATACCTGAGAAGCTTGCATACAAGGCTTTTTGGCATTTCTTGTTTCAATTTCAGGATAAAGTATCCTGTATACACTAATGTACAGTACTGTACTTGTATTTAACCCTTGATTAGTGGAGGGTTATTTCCCATTGCCAGCCAAAATCAGTTGATTTTTGTATGCTGGGGTAGTTTAAGTTTTCTGAGGGTCAGAAAAGCCCTTCCAGGTGGGCTGAGGCAAAGTCAGGATTAATGCAAGAAAAGCCTGTTGCTTAAGATATCATTTTTTTCCTGCAAACTTTTTCTGTGCCAAAAAATTATTGGGATTTTTCCCAACTTTGTTGTGAGCTCCCTGTTGTAATTTTTTTTATTTTCTTCCCTGAGGTGAAACAAAATTTTGCAAAATGAGTCCAACTTTGCTGCCCAAGGGTTAAAAGAGTCATGCTCACCTTGAAGCATTTATGAGACAGCAGAAGCCTGAGGAATTATTGTTTATACATATATTTGGAGTTCATTCTGGCTTATCAATGTAAAATCAGTCAAAATACAATAATGCAGCAAAATTTAGCATTAAAAACCACATGAAACAAGAGCTCATCACAATCAAGAAATAAAATACTACAATTGTTATTCACAGATTTAGTTTCAAGGCTGACATAGTAAAAATTATACTGTATGACTCAGAGGGGACTGAATATTAAATAAAGGGCAAATGGTGGGTTTTCATACATACCAACAATAAGATTCAGACATGTCACCTGACAGCTGAATTTGCACGCAGGTTTCTCTTCCTGCCTCTGAAATAAATACAAGGAAGTCTCACATGGGAGGGAAGTGGGTAGGCAAGGCCAAACTGGACTTGGTTTTCAGGGCATGATACTTGACATGCCTGGGCCTAAGTTCTGATTCCCCAACAAGTATGATGCACACTTGAGCTATTTTATGCAACAAATGTTTTTCATCTGTGTTAATCTGCACAGCCGTCGCTTGGTTCGGAAAATAGCAGCTATTAAAAATAACCATTCCTACTTGAAAAGATTTTATGATATTGTAGGTAAAGGCTCATTTATCAGGGGAAAAGTTCTGGTGTTCCCCACACTGTCTTTGGACTCACACCTAATTCTTGACGTTCATTTTTTGTCATATGTTTGAACAGTATAAATAACACGGCGAGAGAAGTGGCCTCACTTGAAACATGCAATCACCGCCCAATTAATTGCGATGCATTCTTTTTTGTCAAAGACACATTTATTTCCCCTTCTGAGTAGGAATAAAACATCAATTGGACACAGTTTATTGCTCATCCTCTTTGGCAAAGGGTGGCATGATGCAGCATCAGCAGAGGTGGTTGCAGTCCAAATATTGCGCAAGGACATGCTGGTACAGCAGGCGATGATGACGACGATGTGGTCGGGGTCATCAGCAGACATTTCCTCCAGAACAACAGGGACAATAGACAGCAGCAGCAGCAGCAGCAGACGAGAAGACAGCACGAGAAAAGGGCAAAGAGAAACGGTCGTCGGGAAAGGACGAGCAGCAACGAACGAGAAAAGGACAACAACTACAACAAGAAAGACCACCACCACCACCACATCACTCCTGCTGCAGCTGGCGGCGGTCGTGAAAATGATGAGACGATGATCACGAATGACGACTGTTGAGCGTCAGCCACTGGGCGTGACGAGTACCGATGACGAAGACGGCGACGACATCATGATGACGCCTCTCATCGTCGTCGTCTCCTCATCAGCAGCAGCACAGACCCGATACGCAAAGGACGCCTTGCTCATCGTCATTGGTGATGTCTTGCTGCTGCTCCTGGTGGCGGCAGTGCTGCTCAAGGATGATGATGCCGCCGCCGCCGCCGCCAACGTGACGGCGTTCATTCTCGCATCGTCTTCGCCGCCGCCTCGAGCGATGATGCCTACAGCAGCAGCAGCAGCAGGCACTTGCACCGCCGTGGGCGTGAAGCCGTCCTCGGTCAGCAAATGCCGACTGTTATTGATGCTGCTCCTCTTCTCGTCTCGGCTCTTGTTGTTGATGGTGAAGGCCGACTCGAGACTGTCCGGGTAGAGGTCGTCGTCATCACGGTGCCCCAGGATGTGGCCGTCCTCGTCCTCGTCCTCCAGGATGGGCTGCAGCATCCGCATCATGTTCTCCTTGAAGGAGTTGATGCGCTTCGAAATGGCGGCGTCGTCTTCTTCGTCATCATGGTGACGAGTTGCAGACGATGATGACGTCGGTGATGATGGTGGTGGTGGCAAGAGACCCGCCTTGTGCAGGCGCCGCGAGATGTCGGCACTGGCCCGACCCAGGCCCTGCGCCGCCTCCACGCTGGCGCACTTGAGCTCGTGCCAGCCCGCGGCGCCGCGACACACGACGGCATAGGCGCCCTCGAGCAGCTTCCGCTTCCAGTCGAGCAGTCGGGCAGCCACCTGCGAGTCCTTGACAGACTCGAACACACGCTGCAGCCAGTGAATGAGCAGCAGCAGGGGCCGCAAAGTGGCCTGCTGCAGCACGAAGCAAATGGCGTCGAGTGTCTTGATCATGGCGCGAGTCACCGAGTCCTGGCTCAGCCACCGACTGCCATGAATACATACATAATACAGGAATTACACATCACATATGCTGGTACATGGGCTGTATACTGTATACACCACAGATGTCATGATGACGAAACGAATTTTCTGTACTCTACAACAAGTTTTTTTCGCATCTAAATATATGATGATTAAACAGCCTTGCTGTAAGAAACATCCCAATGAACTTTCGACAAACTTTCATTTTACTTATTCAGTGCTGCTTGTTCAAGAATCTCTTGGTGGACACTGACAAATTTGAGTACGTGACTGACTTAACAGTTTTAAGTGGTTCCACACATCATAATCCCAGCAGAATCAAGGATTTGCACACGTGAAAAATTTCATGATTGAAGCCAAATTATTTTGAAATGAAGCACAGCGAGACCCCCAGATGCAGACATAATTGGTGCATCAAGAATGTCCCTAAATTTAATTGTCCAAAAGTCAAGTCTTGTTTTGCAATAGACATACATTACACAATTTTAATTGGAGTTCCCTGGAAGAATTATTCTTCAGAATTATATGCACTAAAACATTTTTTTTCACTTGAATTTGATCCAGTGAATATATTTTCAACCCAATAAGAACATTTTGAGCATTGAATAGTACAAGGGTTCTAACTAAAGTTCTTGGAGTAGCATTGAAATTGGCTTAAAATTAAGCTGAAAAACAATTATTCGTTTGGGAAAAAATCACAGTGAAGGCGGCTGTTGATGAAAATGGCGGAATTGCCTTGGAAGATCTAGAGGCAACCCTTGGAAAGAATGCCAAGTGGATTTCAAAAATCTGTGGGGAAAGCTGGGCTACAACAAAAAAGGGCACGTCATCTTTTGAGTGGAGACTGGAGAGCAAAACTCTGCCCAGGTGAATTATGAAAATAAATTTAAAAAAATTGTGAAACAGGGCTGATATTTTTGTGTGTGTCAAATAATATTTTTTCCCAAAAGAATAACTTTTTTCAGCTCAATTGTAAGCCAATTTCATGGCTACTCCAAGAACTTTTGTTAGAACCCTAGTATACTGCTGTAGAGTTCATTAAAATGTTGGCATCTGTAAAAATAACATCAAAGTCACACAGAGAGAATGAAGTCCCTCTGTGCGAAAGTTTTTTTTTTTAATGAGCTGGATGGTTGGGAAAGTTATGGAAAAGTACCAGAGAATTGTTCTTGCATAGATCTCAGGGTTGGAAATATCAAGTCAGTTTCCATGAGTTGGCCCTTTTTTATGAAATTTTCATTGACAAATGAATGTCCCTTAGTTGATTTTTTCCCTTGTTGAGGTGTCCGCAGGTAAAGGGCCTGAGCGTACACTAAGCTTTTCAAACAATAAAAAAAATTATGAAAAACACAGCAAAGTTAGATCTTAAGGGAATAGATTATTATGTATTATGTAAACATTTTTCCCAATCATTCCCTTCGGGATTATTTGTTCTTGGAAATTTGTGCTTATGATTCCACCAAAAGTGTCCTGTGATGAAGGACAGGATTCACCCACTTGTGATGACCAGGAGCACCGTCGTCTCCGCCTCCTCCAGCATCGTCGTCGTCGTCCGGACGAGACAAGATGGAGTCGAGCAGAAAGTCGCCAATGTCGAGCAGGTCGACGACAATGGGCAAGTGAGTGAAGGCAATGGCAGTGTGGTCCACGGCCCGAGGGCTCAGGTCCTTGCGAATCTCGACACATTCCTTGAGCGAGTTCTTCAACTTGTGCTCGAGTGCCAGCAACTCGCCCTCAGCCAGTCTCAAGTCGGCCATCTTGCTGCTCTGTCGTCCAGCAGTAGTAGCCTCCTCCTCATCATCTTCAGCTGCTGCTTTCAGTCTGATGGTGTTATTGGCAATCACCGTTGATGTGGCTGCTCGAGGGTTCTTGGACAGCAGTCGCTTCTTGTGCACGGCCAGCAGGGAATCAGACTTGGCCCGACCCACCGACCCAGCAGCAGTAGAAGTGGACCCAGCACTGCTGGTGATGGTGACGGTGTCTGGCGTCGGTGCAGCGTTCCTGGCGACTCGCTTCGTCTTCAGCAACAACATCCTCCTCTTGTTGTGTTTTCGCCCGGCTTGTCGACGCTCTTTCGGAACATTGGAATTCGCATCGTCCTGCTCTTTTTCTACATTCTCTTTATTATGATCGGTGTTGCTGGCAGCCTCTTCGCAACGATGACTGTCCCCGCTGTCGGCAGGAATTGCAACACGGACGCCGCCATCACCAGCAACGACGACCTGCTGACTGCTGCTGGTGCTGTTGGTGTTTGTATTTGTGATGGACGCATCGCCGGCAGCCCTGAGCATTGAATGCTGGTCCTCGTCCTTGTCAGTGTGTGAGCTGATCATCGTCATCGCCGTTGTGGTGTTGTTGCTGCTGCTGCTGCTGCCGCTAGAGGTAGCTGTCGACGATGACGAGTTGGAGGTGCTGGGAATGCCCAAGGGGTTGTTGCTGCTGGTGCTGCTCGTCTGCTGGCTCACCTGCAGTCGATCAGCCACCATGATGTACTCCATGCGCAGCTGGCAAGCAAAAAAATTAATAAACACTGTGTGTTAGGGATCTTAACATATTTCTAAATACTTTATAGTATCTCATTATAGTTTCAGTTTTAAATGTAGGATTCTTCTATTCCAGTCAATGAAGTGAGTGGATGCTGTAATGCCCATTTTTCCAGTTAAGTAGCTATACAAGGAACATTAGAAGAAGGAAACCTGGCACAATCTGAATGCGTGACACAGAGCGATACAACAATGAAAAAAATTTAGATGCTAAGCATGAGGTGATGTCCAGCACTTGATTTGAAAAATGCTGGTATGATTTCATATATACAAAATTATGTTAATGCATTTTGTGGTTCAGTTTCTTTTTGTCTTTTTTTCAACAAGTTTTACTTTGAAGGACTTTGAGTCAAGTGTATAATGAAACAACTGGTTGTATCAATCAAGACAGAACACAAACATATTTGAAACAAACACAAATGTGTTTAGTCCAGTGGACTGAGAAAAACCATCTATAGTTTTAACTGGAAAGTTTAAACAGCCTAGCTACTGCTTTGCTTTATTGGTCTAACTCTAGAAGGGTTCTGATTGCTAAATGGAAAATATTATATTTAACCCTCAGACAGTGGAGGGTTCTTTCCAATTGCAGGACAGAGTCAGATTATTTTTGCATCCTCCCCAATTCTCAGCTTTTCAAAGGTCAGGAAAACCCTTCCAGGTGGGCTGAGGCAAGGTCTGGATTAATCTGAGAAAAAGCCTGCTGCTTAACTGAGCATTTCTTTCTATTTTCTCCCAAATTTTTTATGTGCCAAGGGAAAATACATCAAGATTCTTCCCAACTTTGCCCTCAACCACCTGTTGTCATTTTTTCTTCTCTCCAGAATGTTACAACACTTCGAAAACAAAGTACAACTTTGCAGCCCAAGGGTTAAGTAGGAAAAGTGAATATCAGGAAGAGGATGCACTTGATATCCAAATTCCTGACCCATGGCTGACCTGGAAGTTATTTAGACATGAATTGTGGGACACCATATAGATACAATGAAGTGTCATTGTATTTAACCTAGATGCAAACTATGCAGCAAAGGGATGGTTTCAATAGATTAATTTATATAGTGAAGGCCGAGCTTTAATTTGGAACAGTAACCTCTCCCATCATTCAGCACAGAGTGAAAATTGAAATTTATGAAGATAAGTGTTTCTTCCCTTTTCCAGGATAACATATCATTTGTAGACATCTTGTTCTACGAATAACTAATTATAAAATTAAACAGTTCAGAAGTTGCGCACACCAGGGAAGAAAAAAAACCAGTGTGTGTTTTAACAAAATTGTTTAAAAATTATGAACAGGTTTACTCAATCTAATTTCTTGAAATATTTGATTTTATTTTCTATTTACCATTTTCCAATCTCTGGAAAAGGTTCTCAGAACATTCCACTCTTTTTTTTAACAAAAGAAAATTATGGACAACTTCCTCTTCAACACCTCATTTTTCCTAATTTTTTTTGTTGGCCACAGTGTGTAAACTAGTTTGCTTCACAGGATGAGCAACACACACACACACAGACCTCGTCGGAATTGGTCGTCGAATCCTGCGAAGACTGTCGTCCTCGTCGTGGTCGTCCCAACACGCTCTGCTCCACCGTGTCACGCCAATGTCGCCGCACTTCCGACGCCACCCTGCTGCTGGTGCAGTTGGTGGTGGTGGTGCTGTGGCCTTGGCCGCCGCCGGCAGCAGAGCAGCCACCATTGTTTGATGCTGACGACAACTTTTTCATTCTGTTGCTGCGAAGCTGCTGATGATGATCATCAGCAGCAGCAGCAGCACCACTCCGGTCCCTGGACACGTGAACCTTGCCCTCTTCCTGCGACGCATCATCATCCTGCTCCTGAACCCGCATGACTCGCTGCTGCAGCATCCTCTCGACAACTCGAGCCGCACTTGCCTTCCGACTGCTGATGACGAGTGCAGCAGGACTCTGTGCTTTGCTCAGATTCTTGGTGCTGTGGTCAGTGCTCCTACTGCCACTACGGCTTCTGTCCTTGACCATTACTGCACCTAATGCTTTCAGCGTGGGCACCAGTGCCGCCCGTGTTGTGGGTGATTGTGCCTGATGATGCCGCCCATTCAACTTGCGAGCCTGGCTGAAACTCATCACCTGCTCGCGGTCCTTTTCCAGCCAAAAGTGCCTCCGATCATGACTAGCTAGCATCATCATAGCGTCTTCTGCTGTTGCTTTTGTTCTTCTTGTGGTCGTTGTCGTCGTAGTCGCTGTCTTTGGTTCGTCCATCACCCGGGCTTTCGCAGCATTCAAAGAGCAGCCTCCATCACTGTAACTTTTCGAGTCGGTGCTTCTGTCTGCTGCATTCGGCGTCGTCTTATTGTCGTCGTTGCTGTTTTTTCGACCGCTTTTCTTCAAATAAGTCTCGAGTAGCAAGCTGAACGAGGCCCGTCGTTCGGGGTCGTGGAGCAACGCCAGGGGCTCCTTACTCATGCCACTGCTGCTGATGCAGAGGCTGTGGGGTTGATGATCTTCTTTGCCACCGACAAGATGGTTTCCTTTCGTCGTATTAGTGGTGGAGGTGATGGTGGTGAACAGGGGACGGGCCTTGTTGCTTCGGCTGCCCGTCGTCGACGAAGCAGTCGTGGGCTGGTGTTGCTGTTCATTGTTGTCCAGCATGCTGCGACGACGCAGGTCGGCCGCCCGGTAAGGACCCTGCTGATGATGATGCTGCTGCACAGAGCGACGGTGGAGATGGTGTGACTCCATCATGGCAATGCTGCTCTTGCGCTCTGTGACCCACAGCTGGGAGTTGCTCTTGCTGGACAGGGAGTATTGCTGCAGATACTGCTGGTCCTGGTGGTGAAGGTTACAGGACACTAGGCCCAACTTCTGTTGATGTTGATGCTGATGCTGACGATGAGGGCTCAGGAAGGCATGAGACGTCGACCCAACCACCGACACCTCATTCGCGTCTCGTCCTCGTGTTCCGCGAAAATATCTACATCACCCATGAAGATAAAAGGCAATGCACTGGATTGTGAATTCGTGCTGTGAAGTTTGGCCGAAAGTGATCAAGTGCATCAGGGCGAAATACGATTCCAAAGTAAATTTCAAGAGTTCGAAAGCAAAAGCAATTACGATTTTACTTCACAGTACTGTGCTCAATCCGGGATGGAGAATCTCTCTACTTTTCATGATTTTAAATATATTTCGAAGTACTGTACTGTGCTCAATCCGGGACGGAGAATCTTTTTTTTTTTTACTTTACAAGATTTATTTTGTTTCTTTACCGAGGAAAATTACCAATACATCCATGCTCAAAGCCCATGTATTATACTATCGTTTATATAAATATACCCTAACACAGCTCTTTAACAACTATTCTGTATATATATTGGAAAGGAATTGAGAAAAACATTGCACGATGTCGAAGGCCATTGGTCGAATGGACTAAATGAGTTCCGATAGCTGATGGGATAAGTGCATTTATAGAAGAATAATAACAGATAACTGCATCAATTTGGATCCCTCAAATCCGATCATAAATATTTTTTGTTAGCCTGTATATGTTTACGAAAGTTGAATGGCAGTCTTTAATTATAAATTACATCACAATTAGAAAATTAATGCTGCAATTTACCATGATATAATTTTGCTATACATAACTATGCATGAATGGAAGGGATTTTTTTTTTGCTATCCAACCTAAAAACAGTCAGGGACGAGTGCTGATTGTCAGCAATAGCAGGAGATGACTGCTGCTGCTGCTGGAAATAATCTGCGCAACTCTTGGACACCTGCTGGCCCTTCGAACACAAGAACAAGGCCCTGGTGCTGCTGATGTCGTCGTCGTGGTTGCGCAATGGACAACTTCGTCTTCTCCCAGCAGGAGCGACCTCTAGTGAACACGAGGAAGAACCGGACGGAGCAAGCAGCGCAGCTTTCGTCCTTCCCAAGTAAGAGGACAGACTGTTTCTCTGACTTCTCGTCTTCCTCGCTCTTCGACGTCTCTGATGATGATGTGCTGTTTCAAGTAACAGGTGCTCATCGGCCTCGTCGAAACCTATACAAATGGAGTTGAACATTTCATTCTCTTTATCGTCATCATTCGTATATCATTATGAAAAAAAAAAAACAGGCACAAACACGCAAATGTAAAAGGTGTCCCCGAATGCTGCCTGAATTATGAATGGTATCGTCAGGAACGTGATGTGACACTCAACATATATAGCAACAGGAAATGCGAGGAATTTAGTAACTCGGAAATTTTCTGCATATACGACGACGAAAGAGGATAAAACTGGCTTAAGGAAGGTTTCACACCGACTCCACTGACCTGCTGACTATATTGCAGTGGCCTCTTCACTCGTCAATGTCCCTTATACACTTTCCATTCGCATTCCCTTCCACCCACGAGGGACTCTCAAAGGGTTTCACGGGGCTTTCTTTTCCTTTATTTTCTTCCCTATATTTGCTGAGAATTATACTCCAAAAAAATTCCTATAACCAATTGTATTCCCTATACTTGGATGATTCGCCCATGATGTGATGCGTATATTTATTTTTATATACATGAAAGTACCCAGGAATGGTGATGGCGGTAAGCTAACTAAATGCTAACCTAAACCCTGATAAAGCGATATAGGGGAATAAAACGAATAAAGGTGATGTTTATTACATCTTGCTGGGCCTCCAGCCACCACCAGTGTATAGGTGGCAATTCATGTGCTCCCCCATTTTTCAAAGGACGCGCGTGATTCGACCTTCAATAATTTTCATTTACCAAAAACACTGCATGTATACACTGGTACAGTACCTGAATGTGCAAACCAAAAAAAAAAACTGAACTCACGTGCAGTTGGGCTCATCATCATCAAGTCGGGCTCGTCTCTGGTTCGCTTCCTGACGACGACGACACCACGTCTGCCTGATGCTGCTGCGGAAAAGCTCCTATACACATACAACACGACACAACCGAAGAAACATGAGGGAGAAAGAGACGAGAAATCAGTCAATAATACTGTACAACGTTTTAGCAGGAATTGTTATTATTTTCTTAGAGTAAAATTCCATCACTGCAACCAATCATCTCGTCGAAACGAGGTTGTTTTTGGTCCCAGGAGTTTCTCTATAGGCAGACTATCTAATTTTTTTTATGAATTCATTCCTGTGCGTAAACTACCCACAGTACAGTACTGTATAATGAAATGCAGTTGATGGCCCTGACCACAGCATGTGCAAAGGCCATACCCGTTTAATTCATTATTGACACACACAAAATGAGAAAATTGTATTGATGCAGCATTCCGTGTATATCAAAGAAAGAATGAAAGAAAGAAAGCATTTCTTGTGGAGAAGTTTTATTATTCACAAAAGTCACACAGGGGAAACCTTTTTGGAAATTGTTCTAGTCCAATTCTAAATGTATTCCTTTCTTCAAAATGATGACTGATGATTGAGTTGACTCAGAAAAAAGTGCAGCATATTTCTCCCTCATGTTCATTTGTATTTTTTCAATGCAAACAGTACTTCTGTAGGTACTATTGTATAGGCAAGTTCAGCAAACGTAGAGGACCGTATTTTTCACCACACTATACTGAATATTCAAAAATGTTCGTTTTCATTTTATCAGACAGACTTGGAAATTATGACAAGTTTTCAATTATCTGCGTCAGAAGCACTTGAAAGTATTCATCATCTTTTTCCCAAAAAAATGAATAAATGAAAGCCCAGTCTGAGATACTGTGTGTGAAAAATACCAGGAATCCTAAAAAGAAAAATAACGCACTTTTTGTTATAATATGAACTCGTCGTGGGGTCTCTGCTGATGGGAGTTCATCTCAACAGGATTTCACGCACTGTTTATACACGTTACAACTGTACTGTGCTAATACAGTACTGTATATTATTCACCGTAAAGAGCGCCGGAGTTTCGCAAAGGTGGACCTGACTGGGTGCTTCCAGGGTCGCTGCTGCTGCTGCTGCTTGCGTTCATGCCAAAAATAAGGACTCGCTTCCTGTTGTTGTCGTTGGTGGGCGGCGTTATCGTGACGAGGTTCCGTCGACGTCAACAGAGTCGTCATGCAATCCTCGTGCTGCTGCTGGCGATGGTGTAGCTGATGGAGGTGGAAGGAGAAGAAGTCGTGTTCGTGCTGCAGCTGATGATGATGGGTGTCAGCACCAGTAGCAGCAATAGCAGCAGCAGCAGCAGGATCAGGACCATGAGGAGGAGGAGCCAAAGATGGAACTGCGGATGCAAGCTGGTGATGTTGCTTAGGATGAGTGGGCGTGGCGATGAGGACTCCTCCCCCTCCCGCGTCATCCTTCTTGTTTTTGTTGTCATCACGGGCATTATTATTATTATTATTCTTAACATCATTGCGGCCTCTGCTGCTGCTGCCTTCGTCGTCGACACCACTGGGACAAGTCTGTCGTCGATCCTTATTGTTGTTGCTGCGATGCTGATGCAGTTTACTGCTGATGGGCAGCAGTGCTGACAGGGCCCGTCTGGCGACTGCCTGAGTGAAGCCTAAGACGAGATGTCCCTTGTTATTATTATTGATGGAATGCGCATCAACAGCAGAGTCTGGTGCTGGTGGTGCTGCTGCTACTACTGATGATGATGATGGTTGACGAGCGAGTCCAACAACTAGGTGCGGATTCGACGTTTGCGAGGCACAGGAGAACTGGGGTCCAGCATCCGTCGTGTTATTGATATCCGTCAATTGACCCCTTTTCGCATTTAAAAAAATGATCATTCGTCATTCAAACTAGAATTTGAGTTGGAATGCCGAGGACACAGTACGGTATGAATGTTTGACCATCAAAGATAGTGTATAGCTTTGGAATGATGCAAACGCACTCACCTCGACGTCTGGTTGGCAACACTCAACTTTCCCACATCATCACGGTCGATATTAGTCGGTTCCTCATTTTCACTGAGCTGTTTCTTGTTCTCCTTCTCCTCCTCAATAGCGTGTTTCTCATTTTCCGACGTGGTCCTTGCAAACGAGTTTTCATGATATGCAGCAGGAGCATCGGAAGTCGCTTCCTGCACATTATTTTTTACACGCGAGCAATTTCATTGATTGCGTATTACAATACTGTGTGTGTATATATACAGTATTGCTTCGTCTTTTCTTGGACGATTTTTTCAATGACAGAAATGCAATTTGTGAATACAATATACGAATACAAAATCAATGCTGTGCAGGCAGGCATTTAATGATTCCTGGAGACGAGTAGTGTTTTATTTTTCATCTCGAAATTCCACTCCTATATACGCATGATGACTCCGGTGTGTTGAGCAGGAAAACACAAACCTTCCCGGACTTCTCCCAATTATATAAAACCCCTGCTGTGGCATATGCAATATACCGTATGAAGCTGTCACAATATTATCGTTATTCTCAGAAGAATGCGTCGTGTTAGTGTGAGATTCTAACCTTATTTTCGGACACCAAAGTCCGGATCATGCTGGATTTCGATGCTGCTGATGACGGAGACTTTTCCACACCCTGATCAGTTTCACAATATTTGGATCCCAGGCCAGGATTTCTGCCTCGTTTCTTCCTCATCTTCACTTCGTACATTTCCGGACGCAAGGATTGCTTGCTTACTTCTTCAAGTTCGCGGCATTTGTCTGCTAAAATATGCGCATTATTAGGAAAATAACGTGGGACAATAAAAAAAAAACTGATCGGTGCCGTATCTGTATGAACTGCAGCAGTGATGAACAGACACATGATGTTGGGAATTTTGTTTTTTCGTATATATATCCACCTGTAAAAATTTTAACGTACTGTATGTATAGTACTGTAATACCAACCCTTCTGATGCAATTTCGCCCGTGGTGGGCATTTCTCACGCTTCACTTCCCTCTCGGCGGGCTTCTCGAAAGTAACTGCCTTTTCCCCCATTTCCTCTTCCTTAACGTGAGACAGCATGGTGATGACGATGATGATGATGATGATTGACGTGGTGCTGATTACATGTGCAATCCTCAAAAACCCACCCACAAGATGGTTTTTATGTTTGATGAGCACAACACCTCGAGTATATTACGTAGATGCAGTAACATATATATATATCAGCATAAGGGAAACACGAGATTATATGGCATGACACATGATAATCAGAAACACCTTCAACGACCACCCATAAAGATGGCTAAATGTAAAAGCTTAAGGGAACTCGTGGTTAAAAACGAATGTGATGAGACTTCGGGATGCTGGTTCGCCCTCATTCATACATGGAGTTCTGCTTTTGATCATACCCAGTAAAGTTATGCAGTATCAGGCAAAACTGGATGCTGCATGAATGCATGTCTGCCTCATGTCGTATAAACCATCAATTAAAAAAACGCATATGTGTTGTTGGGAAACCCCACGCCCGCACAAACATACGGAAAAGAAAATATCTTTTATGAATACTTCCGGAAGAAGCTGGACCAAAATGAAAAAGAAAAAAACTGGGAAATCTTCGAGAGTTTCCCCTTTTCCAAGAAAAAAAAATACAAACTGTTAGGGTGTCTTCGAAATTCCACAATACAGTATTGTTTCGAAGACATTCTTTGAAATCTTTGACCTCAGAAAAAAGGCTCACAGTATATGATGCGATCCCTATATTTACCAGTACAGTACAGTACTTATTTGAGTGCAGCAGACTTCGATGATGTGATCAGGCTTCTTTGATGCGAATAAGCCCATGAATTGAGACATCTTGCGAGGAAAAATGTGCCATCTTCGGCTTTCGGTTCCGTAGCCCAAGTTGGGTATGTGCAGCGTGTCTCGAAAGATGACGCTGCTTCAAACTTGTTTGAAAGCAACCTGGAATAAAAATTCAATAAACTTTATTCTTCTGAGTTCAGACTCGACGTCCGCACGCAGCCAAGTTCCAACTTTCGTCATTGTCTTTCCATATAATGATCGTGGATAAAAATGAGGATGCTTTGTATATAAAAGTGTTTTTTTTCGCTTTGTGGATCACATGTACTGTAGTGTCAGTGTGCACTGCACTAATTAGGAGAGTCCACTTCCTTATACAGTATCATACGTAGGGGACATGGGAAATATCTTCTTGGTATGGACGAGGATCATGCTGAAGACGTTTCTCAAGGACGGAAACAAAGGCTATACTCTGTTGCATGGGTTAATACTGTATTTGAAAGCTTATACAGTACGATGGAAGTTCGCTCGGCCAGTCGATCCCCGTTATCTCCCTGCTGCTGCTCGGTCACGTCACGGGAACAAATGTGAGGATTATGAGGCCAGTAATGATGGGATGAAGAAAAAAACAAGGCAACGAGGAAATGATGAGGACCACGAAGATGAGCTGTATGGAATGTTACACGAAATTAGAGAGGATGAGGATGGAATTCCTCCAGGCAGAGCAGGAAAGTACCTTTTTTTCACTACAATATTACAGCATCATCACCAGCAGTGCGTATATGCATCACGGTTGAACAAACAGTGCCGACATTACTTGATTCCCAGGATGCCAATACCTGCTGCTGCGTGAGTATATACGCGGATCTTATTTAGACCTGTGAATTATATCATCCGACGAGAATTCGCATTCCTCCACCTATATACAATACAGTATACAGCACCCAGCTATATTTGTGTCTATATCTCTCTTTCTTCCCAACAGTGTGGGAATAAAAAAGAAGGAAAGTAATGTTCTCAAGCAGAACCATAGGTGTAACGCAAGTCAATGATGCACGTCCATGATTATTCTGTTTGGAACACATTTCAGAAAAATGCTCCTTGTATGTTGCTGGAAAGCAAACCTGTCATGACCAATCCAGCAGGAGGAATGCACGCGGCAACCATGCATGCATATTCCGTAGTTGCTAATTTTCTCATCCCTGTCCAAGTTTAAGCACAACGACATGTTATTGTGCTTCCTGTATATACAACAAGCAGCGGCTCGGGTGTATATAGTCAACATTTCCTTGAAGCCAATATATACATACACGCGGGTGGGCAAAAAAGAAAAAGTGAACTGATTTTGAATTAAAATATCTTTGCAGAAACTTTAGGCATAAACAGCTACAAAAAGGCAATGAAATGGAAGCTTGTTCAATGTATTTTTCAAATTATATACATTATGGTTTCATGGTCTCCAGCAATGTCATGTCATGGTCACAAAAGCCATTAAAAAAAATTTAAAAAGTTCCTTCTTAAAACAAAAATTCTGTCTGTCATTTCTTTCAGGAAAAAGTCTTGCAAATATGGATCATTGGATTCCAGCTTGATAGATTGGAATTGGTCTCACAAGCTAAGTAAATACAGTACAGTATATTGGACTCAATATATGACCAGAACTTCCCTAAATAGTGCACATTGAGCAGCCAAGTTAGGATTACTCTGTTATCCATGAACTGTGTGAGTTTGTTTCAAAGATCTTTTTTGCAAGTTATACCTTGCCTCATGGAAGTGTACAGGTTTTTTCCCTGCAGCTTTTTCATTGTTTTGAATTTCCTCTTCTCCTGTCACCCCATGTTAACAGCATGATGCACTTTTTGTTCTCTTTAAAGAATGTAAAACTCCCCCTCACTGCTGACAGTGCAAATGCCCCTTGTGCAGTTGCACCTCTGAAATCCATATTTCAGAGGTAAATATCTTATAAGACTGTTTTGCATATATATTGTGTTGTGTATTGCACATTTGATATTTGCTTCATGAGGTCTGTGCATTCATGAATAATATGCAAAATACCTGAATGAACTATATACCTGAGAAGGTAAATATATTACTGAGGAACCATATATTCCTCAGATTTAATCCTGTGTCAACCACAGTTACTTCTCAAAGAACCTTGTATACATTTAGCAAGATTCTCTCAAAACTTGTATGTTTTACTTGTTGAATGACTAAAGTTTGATTGTGAATGAAAGTATATATTTTATAATCAAAACTGTTATATGTAATTTGGACAACAGCTTCTATATAATAGGGATTTGTGAGATTGCTAGATGTCTGAGATAATGGCTTGAACACTTGAATTTGATGATGCTCAGAGAAAAGTGATGCAACCTTGGCCAGGCTGCAGCCAGGACCTGCTATTCANAAAGTGAACTGATTTTGAATTACAATATCTTTGCAGAAACTTTAGGCATAAACAGCTACAAAAAGGCAATGAAATGGAAGCTTGTTCAATGTATTTTTCAAATTATATACATTATGGTTTCATGGTCTCCAGCAATGTCATGTCATGGTCACAAAAGCCATTAAAAAAACGTTAAAAAGTTCCTTCTTAAAACAAAAATTCTGTCTGTCATTTCTTTCAGGAAAAAGTCTTGCAAATATGGATCATTGGATTCCAGCTTGATAGATTGGAATTGGTCTCACAAGCTAAGTAAATACAGTACAGTATATTGGACTCAATATATGACCAGAACTTCCCTAAATAGTGCACATTGAGCAGCCAAGTTAGGATTACTTTGTTATCCATGAACTGTTTGAGGTTGTTTCAAAGATCTCTTTTGCAAGTTACACCTTGCCTCATAGAAGTGTACAAGTTTTTTCCCTGCAGCTTTTTCATTGTTTTGAATTTCCTCTTCTCCTGTCACCCCATGTTAACAGCATGATGCACTTTTTGTTCTCTTTAAAGAATGTAAAACTACATTCTTCCCCCTCACTGCTGACAGTGCAAATGTCCCTTGCACAGTTGCACCTCTGAAATCCATATTTCAGAGATAAATATCTTATAAGAATGTTTTGCATATATATTGTGTTGTGTATTGCACATTTAATATTTGCTTCATGAGGTCTGTGCACTCATGAATAATATGCAAAATACCTCAGTGAACTATATACCTGAGAAGGTAAATATATTACTGAGGAACCATATATTCCTCAGATTTAATCCTGTGTCAACCACAGTTACTTCTCAGAGTACCTTGTATACATTTAGCAAGATTCTCTCAAAACTTGTATGTTTTACTTGTTGAATGACTAAAGTTTGATTGTGAATGAAAGTATATATTTTATAATCAAAACTGTTATATTTAATTTGGACAACAACTTCTATATAATAGGGATTTGTGAGATTGCTAGATGTCTGAGATAATGGCTTGAACACTTGAATTTGATGATGCTCAGAGAAAAGTGATGCAACCTTGGCCAGGCTGCAGCCAGGACCTGCTATTCAGTCCGCTGTACTTACAAGTTGGTACATTTTTTTAATGAGTGAAAAAAAAGCACAGCACAATGTTTTGCACTTGACAATGCAAGAAGTGTGAAGCTCACCATTTATAATTTCAACAAAAAAATTGCTAAGATGAGTTGGTTTTCCCATCCAATTTACAAAGCAGATATCCCCCTTGACACTGATTCTCCAATATACACCCAACAATACCCTATCCCATAGAAGATGCACAAAGATACAACAATTGCAGGTTCCACTTTCCCTCTTAGCTAAATAGGAATCTCTTCTCAATGAAACTTGTCAAATGATTGAATCTGATCCCTATTGTACTTTCTTTTCCATCAGGGATCTTTTTCCCACTTTCACCACAGGTTTTCTGGCCAAGAAAGGTTGCCATGTACCAGCAGAAAGTTTCAGGAGCAAGCATCACCTGTTCCAAAAATCAGCCAATTCCCCAGAATGCAAGGCTAGTTTCCCATCTGAAATTGTAGTGCACTATCTAAGAGAAAAAAGCAGTCACACAAAATTGACATTCAGAGATACCCATATAAAAATTACCAAAATTTTCCTGATGTCCTCTTTCCTCACTCTTGCCCCATTTACTTAGTTTAATTAATGAACAGAAAACTTCATTTGTTGCTTTTCAGCATTCACAAGGTACAACCAAAACTCCCACATCCAATTGCGGGTTTGCAGGTTTGGATGCGGGAGTTTTGGTTGTAGAGAAGCATCTGCAAGCAGAAAGGGTTGCCTGTCAGGGCTGCTGATGCTGAGAAACGAGGGAACTATAGGTTGGTTAAGTTCTTTCATATCATCATTTGTGTGGGCAGCAGGTTTTAAACTAAGTGAATGAATGAACAGAAAACTTTATTTGCTGCTTTTCAGCGTTCACAAGGTACAACCAAAACTTCCGCATCCAATTGCAGGTTTGCAGGTTTGGATGCGGGAGTTTTGGTTGTACCTTGTGAATGCTGAAAAGCGGAAAATAAAGTTTTCTTTTCATTCATTCACCTAGTTTAAAAACCTCCTGCCCACACAAATGATGATATGAAAGAACTTAACCAACCTATTTTTCCCTCTTTT